ATAACGATCATAAATACATTATCATACCAATACAAAAACATGATTTATTAGTGAAACGTATAGTTTTCGGGTAGACATTTTTAAATTGCATCACTCATAAATCTGCAAACACTAATATGCAAATCAAAAACTACTATGAAACGTGTTTCATTATAAATAATATTATTATAATATAATACTGATACCTACTGTAGAAACACATTCAGCAGAAAAATCGTTAACGCCTAATTATATGCATTAATAATTGTTTATTATTTATTTATTTATTTCTATGTATAAAATATTTATTTACATATTTATTTATTATTGTTTCTGTGACGAAAAATAAATAAAGTATAATAACTGTATAGAATATTACTACTATAATGAGTTTCCCTTAATGTGCTTAACGATCTTATCGTATTTATAGTACTTCAAACACGTGAATTTATGAGATTCATCTTATTTTTGAACTTATCAGTATGTCAGGTATCATTGTACGTCGTGTACTCATGGCGTTTAGTGTATTGTGGTTCGTGATCAATCATTTATCTTAAGTATCGAGAAAACGGAAAATTTTGTCAGTAAAATAAAAAAGGTACTCATTCGTTTCGATAGTTTATTTGAATTAGTTAAATTAGAAGAATCTCAAGTATAATCGAAAATATATTGTTTTTTGAATATAATATTTAATGTATCTTAAATTAATTTTTATCTGATGTTAGTTTTATCTTAAGTATACGTGAAATTATAGAATTATTAAAAAAAAATAAATAAATAATTAATGGAATCAACCTGAATTAGCTTAAACCAGTGTGATAACATTATGTGGAACTTACTTTATAACCATAGAAGTGTTTCTAGGATTCTATTTGTATGCTAAAATGATATGTAAAAATGCGCTTTATCGTTACGTAGTACTCGTGCATAATGACACAAAAAAATGTCTAAAAACTTTTTCGAATTTGCTAATTTCTTATAAAGTAATAGAATACGATGTCTACCCTTGGAAATGTTCAGTCAATATTCAAAAACTGGAAATTATATGTTACACCGACTTATCGTGAGACGATTGATGTCTACAATAAATTTCATTGAATGTAAAGAACGATATATTTTTAATGTTATTTTATTTTATTTTAATATCTTAAATTATTTATGAACTTAAGATTGAATTTGCAAGTAAAAAATATAACGATATTTTACTGCTTTAATTATATGACACAAAAAAACAGAAGCTATATTAATTTACTTTTATCTCAATCACACTTGCCTTTTATGTACACAACGAAACAAAAAGTTAGCCTTTACATACACAAAAATCCTTCATATAAAAAATCTCTTTCGCGATGTTCTTAATTCTCTCGATGCTTTTGGTGTACAGATATTTATTAGTTTTATCATTCTGTAGAACAATATGGCCACAAGGCTGCATGGTGTGATACACTTAAGGCGTTCTACTTCTAGTGTTTGCGTGCAGCAGTGTCGAGTTGATTTACTGGATTTTCGAATGGACAAATATTTAACACTATTAAATATTGAAGCCACAAACATGAATGAGCAAATATTGAGTATAATTTAATTAAAATTATGTTAATACATATGTACACTTGGTTTGATCTCCCACTCAGTCCTGTTTAACCATTACACATTGTTTCTAAGAAATTTAATAAACACGAGAAAGAACGTAATTTTTCACGTCAAGCACTTAGTTGACTTACTAAATATCTTACTAAATATCTTGCCTTAAGTTTAATGTAAGCGAACTTTCTTTGATTAAAAATATTGTGATGAAATATTGGGGGAAATTTATGGTCATTATATATTAACATGAGTCCTTTAATTACTCGAAAGAAGAAAAGACGACCAGTTTTTTTTTAATTTACAAAATATACAAACTTTCTCACTATATAAATAAATAGAAATCCGGCATTTTTCGCATATCCAGTACGACAGTTATATTTGACTAAGTTATGTTGTCCGACACGGGCAGCCGCACTATAGGATTTTAGTTCATTTTTTTTTAATATTATGCGATAGGTTATCGACTGTCGTCGAATCTTTCAAAAATAAAACTATTAAAGACTGATTGAAATAATAATACATTTTCTGTATCACTTGCCATGATTTGATTATATTACCATGCTTACTTTCTTATAGAAAATATAAAAGCATTAATTTGATCGTTCATGTTTTTATTTTCAGAGGAAAATTTATTATGAAATATAAATTCCTATAATTTCAGACAATTTCAGTATTATTCTGGCTTGTGTTCTATATTTAAAATACACTAGTTATCACTGTACTTACGCAAAATACAACCGTAAACAGAATGAACGAGTTCTTTTAAAACGTGATGACATTTCGATAGAATAAGTTCTGTTTTGAAAAACAAATATTCATATCTCATCGCTTACATACGCGATTTCACATTAAGTCCATGCATAGACGTAAACTGGGGGGCAAGGGGGGCGATTGCCTCTAGAAAAAAATTAGGAGGGCCAGTGCCCCCTCTGATATTTAATATAACTTATTTTAAAATAAGTACAAAACAGCTGGGGTTATAGCTATTACTATAACATTTTTTTTTTTAAATCTTAATTTCAAATTTTCGCTTATCTAATATAATGTTAAAAAAATTATAGAAATTTTATATTATTATATGTAGGTAGTAAAGCGGCGTTTAGTCTCGGGCACTCTTTTCGTTAGATATAACATTATATCCCCCCCCCCCCTAATAAATTTCCAAGTTACGCGTATGAGTCCACGTATTTAGTTCAAGTGACCGTAAAGTAGTATACCCACAGAAATGAAGGCATTTCCAAAATGTAGGATAAAAGTTCTGTGCAATATTACTTACACTTTGAACCGAGATAATTTTTTGAAATTGTTTAGATATTTAATGATTAACATGGTTAGGTTAAATTGTTTTTGCAAATTGAATCAAAAACACCGGAAACCAATTTAAAATTGGAACACGTGTTGTAGATATTATTCGACCAGTTTATTTAACACAGTTATTTTTTAACGAAATCGAAAACGAGAGGTTTGGACATTGATAAATATGCATTTGAATTACATTGTTCCCTAGAATAGCCGTTGTCACGACCATGCATACTCAAAACACCCTGTCTAACGACTAAATTACGCGTTGACAGATCGTCAGAATGTTTACGAAGATCATGTACGACGACATGCACACATAATGCATGGACCATAAAAATACCTACGCTTATTACGTATTCGTCGAGTGTAAACGGTGATACACGAGTGAATAGTTTGATGTACGATGTATATACGTATATTTATTATTAGATAAGTGTGCGTGTTTGTGAACATTCTGTAGCATTCTAAATACGATTCGATGGACTAGGTTAGCATCGCAGGCACACGACCGGGTTAAGGTTGTTCTCTCGAAAAATTAAAGAAAAAGAAAAGAAAAATACGCTTTTCATGTCTGGACGACCGGGGGCGGCGATTAATCGATTTCGACTGACCGTTGTCTTTGTAAAGACAGTGCTGGTGTAGATGACATTTTACGAGAGCATTTAACTACATGCGGTCAAATATTCAAAAGTACCGGTGACGGTGTTCTTTACTCTTGTCTCTCTCAAAAAAGGCTACTCGTATACCGTCGTCCACCATCTATTCACACCACGAACCGGCCACCCGACTACGTATATGAAACGTTTACGTGGTTATTATATTTTTCACATCACGTTTTGTGTGATATTAACATTTTTTATGTGCATCTATTAGAATGATGTGTGTTGCAGGTCTCTGGTTTGTCATAAGAGTTTAATTTTTAATATACTTGCAGTTTTTAATGACGACTTATGACTTCAACTGATGAATCGGTATAATCCGCTACAAAAGTAAAATGTTCATGATGCGTAAATTCTTGTTTACATGTTCTTCTAAAATTATTATGATTAAAACGAACAAAAAAATGTATTCGACCGGTGCCCAGTACGTCGGCAAGTCGGAGTTTTTAACCAAACCATCAGTTTGTCATGTGTTTGAATATGAGTAGTAACATTGGCGACGCAGTCATTGTGCTAAAATAAGTTATTGAATTTAGTTGTAACTCGTATTTAATTTTGGTGGAAATAAAAAAAAAAAAAATTGTTCAAGTAGATAATACAATGATTATGATCATATTGAATAATTTTGAATATTTATCAATAAATTTTATCGAACATACATTGGAAAAACATTTTGATATTTCAACTTATTGTAGTGATCCGCTGTATAGGGTTCTGCGTACACATAAAAAATTATTCAAACGACGCAGCACGTTTAACTCAAACTTACGACTTTGTTTGAGAAGGTAATCAGTTAATAAATAAAACACATGTGATTGAAAAAAGTATAAGTTACAATTTATCAGCGTTTTCTATAATAATTAAAAGAAAAATAGATGCTAAAAGTAAAAGTTACTAGTATTGGCTAAAAATTGACTAAAAACTTGGGGTTATAAAGTCCACGACTTGGCCGTAGTCTTACAAAGAGTGAATAGTCAGTCTATGACTATCTTTTAACGATTTTCTGCCTCCCGGTTCATACTAGGTTCTCTACTCTTGTTTATGCGAGTTCTAATAACGACGTATAGTGGCGTGGTGTTAACGAAAAGATGCTCATCGTGCGAATGTTCTGCGAGAAATGTAGACATGTTATATTTTTTTCGCACCCTTAACCCTTACTGAAAACCTAAGTTTCCAGTAACTTATAGCCTATTACATGTACTCCAATCACATAATCCAGCGGTTCCCAAAGTGTTCGCTGCGATGTCTACACAGGGCGCTGCGTTGTCATGAAATACTATCTTGTCTAAAATAGTTCTTATGATTAGTCATGCTATGACTTGGGGAAGGGTGCCTTGAAAAAACCTTAGATCAGAAAGGGCTCCGTGAGTCGAAAAAGTTTGGGAAGCACTGACATATTCAATTCATTAACCGTGGTTCGGGCGTGCTGCGTTATCGACATGTCGTTGACATCACCTGTTTTGTGTCTGTTTGCAGATGGTCCTCTGGGACGTCCACGGTGGTGGTGACGGCGGACACCACTGCCGGCGGCGGCGGTCGCAGCAAGGCTCCGATGAATTTCCTGCGGCTGCGGTCGGTACAGCGGACGGACGCGGGCAACTACACGTGCACAGCCAAGAACTCGGCGGGCCACAAGAGCTTACACCACCGGGTGATTGTGGTGCCGGACATGAGCGCGCACGTGGTGCCGGCGCTATCTGAGATCGAGTCTGGGCGGTCGGTATCGTTCACGTGCATCACGTCCACCGCCGACGAAAACGTGAGTACAATAATTGGCACATTACCTAATAATTATACATTAATTATTGCGCGACGTGCAATGCCTGCGCACCCGACAGGTTGCCCAGATCTCAGTGTTCTATTTAAGTACGTGAACCGTTTCACCGCTTTTAAAAATATCTTGATTTTTTCGAATTCACCATAAGTTTATAGGTTCATAAACATTTCTATCCAATTTTATTCACAGTTCAGAATGTTCCACGTATGTGAGTTCACTCGCAAAACCGAAAAGAAAAATTATAATACTATAATTCACGACTACGGGCTACGTACCCTTAAAAACTTATCGTATCACAATCAATTATAAGTTTATGCATTTTTTGTCTCTAAATCGATGTATTTTTTTTCGAGGATTTCTTTTGCCTCCGATTAGTTGTAAAACGTATCTTTTCCTGTCTGTATTTTTCTTAAACAAGAAATAATTAACCATAAGGTCGCACGTTGAACTCCCATTTGTGAATGAAATCATTGATTTGTAAGATATAGATGTAATGATAAAGCTTATCTTTAAGTTTCACTGCATTGGATATATAATATGCAGTGCGATGTATACAATAATAAAATAAATCTGGACCATGCCGATACATCCGGGTCCGACAAGTTGGTATTGACACCGAATCTTACATCACAATCGCGGTAACTTGTTCGTCGGCTGAAACATATTATCCGCGGTCGACTGACTCTTTAAATACTATCCTATGGGCTTCACAAATCGAGGAATTAAACGGAAACATAACGATTTTAAAAGCACACGTTCTATGCAAAGTATAAATAAAATCGAACACGAGCGGACATAAGGATTTCGATACCGTCTCTTTTTTTATTGCAGGTGTGACATGTACGAGTACGGTGAATTAGATGAATTTTTTTCCCCCACGCAGACCAATCTAGTGTTCCGAAAAGGATTTTGAAAACATAATTTGAATTCGTAATCTGAAGTACACTTGATATAGACTTTCCTTCTTTTACCGTCGATCCCCTTTAAAACTATTGTGAAAACCGCGTCGTGGGTTTTTGATTAAATTAATTAATTATTTTAATAAATTTTCGTTAGGTTTCACAGGGACAAAATCTACAAATTTCGAAAGTCAATTTCAATTAGACTTATCGAAAAGTCTTTAAATCTGTTTCAAAACTCTTATCACGGATTTGTCGCACGTGCGATAAACAAAAACAGACAATAAAGCGGTATCAAATCCCCTTAATCCTTTTGAGCCAAAAGTACACGTTGTGATGTTCGAATAAACACGTACCGTCCAGACACTATTTCAAACACTCAAACCGCGGCCACCGCGTGTTTACTACCAATAAGGTATATTTCAAACGCGATTTTAATAGGATTTTGTGTTTACATCCTCACTCACCCATTGAATGTTTACAAATATCATAGTGTGGCTATATGGACGACACGTGATCAGTGAAAAAACACTTTTCGCTCGTGATAAACACAAAATTAATTTTGATATGTCACAGTTTTTAAGTCTCTATATAATGTTCCGAAAATCTATTCAAAAGTATTTTTATAACATTGCCCACACTTAAAATATAATGCTCGCGTTCTCACATTCGCTATAATACGGCTTTGTGATGGACGAGGCGAGAGGTCCGTATCACCAGCACGGCCACTTTTGAATAATAGTACCAAACCTTGACAGTATTATGTACTTTTTTTGTACAATTTTGTACAACCAAAACAAAATTGTGTACATCCCTTCAAACCAGAGAAAAACCAATTTTTCTATGGTCATCACATTTTATATTGTGCCTAATACCTATAATAGCCACAATGCTGTACAGTTATACCGTAATACTAACATAATGTGACATAAGTTAATAATAAATTAATAATAGTTATCAATAAACCGAGTTTTACTTTCCCCTACACTATACCTCTCTATAGTATATGGTGGATTAAATGTAAATGAAAATAAATAAAAATAGAAAAATCCCAATTTATGGTTTGGTGCATGTAGCTTATATTATTTGACTAGATGCTTATTTTATACACGGACATTTCCGAAAATGCAAATAAATATTGTATTTGACAGTTGAATAGTGTGATCTAAACTGTAGATACTGTTTATGATGTATACTTTCTTACTTTTGCTACCTACTCAAATAATTATAATCACTGTTGTTTAATTTTTATTGGATTA